AACATTTGCGCCGCGACTTATGCGCCGCGACTTTTGCGCCGCGACTTATGCGCCGAGCGACTTTTGCGCCGGGGGACTTTTGCGCCGCGACTTTTGCGCCGGGCGACTTTTGCGCCGCCACTATCATTAAAAATATATCAATAACTACAGCCGGACCTCACTTTAGTAGGGTTTTCGAATAGTTGGAAATCTTCGGATCTGATATCCAAACTGAAAATTTCGGATATCCGGCATTTTTCGGATCCGGATTTTCTAAACAATGGCGGCGCAAATGTCGCGGCGCATAAGTCGCCCGGCGCAAAAGTCGCGGCGCAAGAGTCGCGGCGCAAAAGTCGCCCGGCGCAAAAGTCGCGGCGCATAAGTCGCGGCGCAAATGTTCTCGGCGCAAAAGTCGTGATACCCTGTACTTGATGCTTCTTCACTTAAAGAAAATTCTGTAGCTGGATACATTTTGGTTGTTTTAGGGACATTTGTAGAGGGAAGGTGGACTTCTGCCTGGACAAATATCTCTTCGGCAGAATTTCTTTTAAAAATATTTTTTATTTAAAATTTGAATTAATTAATTAAAAGTTGAAAAATAACAGGGAAAGCGGCTACATACAACCGTAAACCTCTAATAAAGCCACACACTCCAACAGAACTATTATACGCTATGAGAAGATTGAAAATAGAATCATATGTGGTTCTGTTGGAAGATTTACAGCATATTTTGGGGAAATCTGTGTTTTCAGTTTTTCTTAGAATAATTTAATTTTCACTCTTTAGTTATTTAATAATTTGAATAAAAAAGGACAAAATTTAAATAACAAAAAAACACCTTCTCTCTCCCATAGAAATTCCATTTTCTTGAATTTTTGTTTCCTTTTGTAATTGCCTTAAATTATCCCCAGCGGCAAAAGTATTGGCTCTACTCCTTTCACTTGCTCGTATTCTTTTAATTGTTGATTGTCTTGAACGGCGCAATTCTGCATTATTTTCTTCTTGTAATATCTAAAACAGTAAACGAGTCAGAAAAAAAGGGTTAAGACGTTTCGATTTCCGATAGTTATCTTTCTCGTTTTTTAATGAAAAGCCAATTTTCAAAAAAAAAATTATAAATATTGGAGCTTTGGAAAGGATCTATTGTTGGAGTAAAAGCTAAACAAAAGTTTTGCTTCAGTTAAGAATTAAACTTGTAATCACCCCCTAGTCAGGCTAATATTTATAAACTTTTACCCCCCCCCCCCCTCTCCCCCCTTCACAAACGTCCTCTTAATTAACTAAAATTTCCCAATTATATTTTCCCCTCAATTTATCCCCACACCAATCTGGGCGTGCCGATCTCGAGATTCTAGAGTAATTACACAAGCAACAATTAGCAGAAACATTCCAAGACCCATTAAAATAGGGCCAACATATTGCATACTCTTCAATATGAAACGAAGCCACCCAACAGGCTTTTCTTTATCCTTTGAGGTATTTCCATTTTGAGAAGTTTCTGAGACAAAATAATCGCTATCGAAGTATCCAGCAACTATTAAATAAAGAATTATTAATTATTGTCGAACTATAAGAAAGCCCTTTTGGACAGAAAAAAGCGAGTCCTCCAAGTGGCCAACTAAATCAATTTTAATTAAAAAAGATAACTTAAACGGAGCATAGAGGGCATTTAATAGTGAGGTCTGTATGTATTATTTAATCGTGTAGGGTGAATATTAGAGATAAAAAATAATTTTCTTTTAATAAATTACCAGTCATAACTAGAGCCAATATCATCATTATTGTTCCAATTATTACTGTCACGCAAACTGACCACAATGTCTAAAATTGAGAATAATTAATTGATAGATAACACTATTATTTTGTATACACCCCTCAAAGACGTGCTAAAACTCTCATTAATAAAACTCAAGTTATAGCAGGCTCTCTATTTTTTGGTTATAACCGGGATGTAATTATAATCGAAGTTCTTATAAAATATGTATATGATTTGAATTTGTGGTATAAACGAGTTTCCCAGAAAAATAAACAAAGGATTAACAGTATCAAGTATTTAATTTAAAAAAATCCCCCCCCCCCCCAATTAGCCACTTGTTTGTCGAAGAAGACAGCAACTTTAAAAATTTTTTCAATAAAAATAGAAATAACTGAAGTTGATTTTTGTATTCTTTTTTTATTTTTTGCCATTAAAAATATTTTTTTATTTTTTTTTGATTTAATTTTATAAAATTTAAAAATTGATTAGGGGGAAAGAGAGAAAGTTTTGTGTGTTTTGTTTTAACTAAAAAAGTGTTCCTTCCAATGTTCTCTTTTTTTAAATTTTTTTCTTGCGCAAACAAAAGTTTCTTTTTTATTTTGAGAACAATAAACTAAAAGTTGATTTTGTTGCAGATTTATTTTTAAAAAAATATTTTTTTCTTTAAACTAAAAATATACCTACACTAGACAACCCGTTTAAAACCTCATTTTTTGTTATTTTTAATAAATCGCTAATATTTAGTTTTATGATAAAATAACCCAAAAGTTTAGCATTGGTTAATTTGTCCCTTTAATAAAACGGTTCTCGAAGCTTCTAAGCTCCTGTACTTTCCCAACTCTAAACCATCCCAGGAAAAATTTCAAAGTACATCCGATATTTCTATCACTCTATCAAAATCAATCTATTATCGAGTACAAAGATTTGTAAGTCCCTCTTGTAGACGAAACCACAAGAAAAAGAAAAGCTTAATTAAAAAGTAAAAAATGGGAGAGGAAAATTAATGTAAATTTAAATAAACTTTTGCTCTTTCTCTTTAAAACCCCCTCCAAAATCCCCAAATATGTATTTATATTTCCCCACCTTCGGATCCACACATTTTTTAATAATTAATTTTTTCTGTTGTTGTTTAGCTGCTTTTTGTTCTTTTTTTAATTTTTCAAGTTTTATTCTGTCTGATTTTGGCATTTTCTCAAGTTCTGACAGATTCATTTTGCCAATTCCTAAACTAACACCTCTGACAGTTAACATTTTTTAAATATTTTTTTCCTAAAAAGATTTTTAAATTAAAATTTTAGTTAAATTTAAGTCGTTACTAAAATCCATAAAAAACAAAACTAAAATTTATGGTACTTTTCTGATATGGTGCCGCACATAAAAAAATGTTTTAAAATATGGATAAAATACATATATGTCATTCGAAAGAGCTCATCGAGCTGAGTTGAATGACACCGAAACCAGGCCCGGTCCCAATTTTGAGACCGAGGCCACTCCTTTTGTATCGTAACTTTGTCCAAACTTGTTGGATCACGTTGATTTTCGTGATGAGCCATAGCGGAAAATTACCAAATTTATTTCATATTCTTTAATTTATAAGTCTCAAAAATTAGTAATAATAAATTTAATTTTAATAATTGTAAGATAAAAATTTTCAAAAAAATCCTAAGTGACAATTAACCCCCTAAATACATTGGAATTTATGTAAATAATGGACACCTACACGAATTTTTATTATTAAAAAGGAAATAGTTAATTTAAATAATTAAATTGTGTTAACTTAAATTTAAAATATTTTATGTCAATTTTAAAAGTTTTTCTTCAACGGCACAAAATAAAAACTTTTATTTTTCAGAGTTTGGCACTCTTAAAGATTTTTTAAAAGCAAAGTTTTGCTTGTAAATGACGGCAAAAAAAGGCGGAAACCCTTTCAGGAAGAGAAAAAAAAAACAAAAAAGTCTGTGCCATTTTATCAAAAAAAAGTAGCACGAGAAAAAATCAATTTGAGAGAAGTCCCTCTTTCCCCTATTTGTCGCGAATAAAAAAAGCAGCTGCCTTTCTTTTATTTTTTAAAAAGTCTTGAAGGGGTGAGGCTTTTTTTTGTTTTTAGAAAAAGATTAATTTTTAAAATAATTAAATTTTTTCCAATTGTTTTTTAAACCTCTTTAGAATTAAATTAATTATTACTACCCCAGGCTTGCTTAAAATAAAGCACATAATAAATAGTTAATCCTTCTAAACAGCCTAACGTATCTACAAATTAATTTTGAGATACATAAATTAAAAGATATATGTAGATTGGGGATTATAGGCGACTGGGCATAATTTCTGGGCTAGATCTTTAAAACAATTTCTGTCCAGAATCGGAGTTGTTCTTTAAAATAATCCGGACAAAAAAACCTTTAAACCTCTCTGGGCCAGTTTAGGTATACTCGAGAATAGTGAAGGAACAAATTTACGTCTTCCCAATTACCCTTTCACACCACTCAAATTAATATGTTCCTTCAATAAAAAAATTTAAAACATTTTAAAATTTAATCAGCATAAAGTAATTTTAAGGAAAATTTGGTTTTAAAAAATATATTAATTTAATATATAATAATTTTAATATACAATTTATAAATTAAATAATTTTTTTTAATAATAAAAAGAATAAGTAAAGAATTTTAGGAAAATATTCCAGATCCCCCCCCCCCCCCATTTGTAGTTCAAAATAAGGACAAAAGTTTGTTTTTACCTAAAAAAGAACACTAATTGTGAATAATTTAAAAAAAAATAATTTTTAAATTTATTTTTGTGACATAAGAGATGGGGAAAATTTCAAAAGAAAATTTTTTAAATAATTCAGAAAAACCGAAAATAATAAAAAACCTTTTTTGCTTTTAAATAATTAAAGAGATGCAGAAAAAATAAAAGGAAAAACAGGTACAAATTCTATTGATTTTGGAGGGTTTTCGGTTATGCACACAAAATATTTCTTTGTTTTTCCTATTTTTTAATCTGAATTTTTCTGAAAAACTGCTCTTGTATTTTTTTACTAAAAATGTCAAAAAAGAGCAGAACGAATAAATCACAATAAATCAACTTATTATTCCTTGCCTTTAATGCAAAAAATAATTGTAAATTTTTTGTGCCTGACCGAAAAGCTAAACTTTTTAAAATAATTTTAATAATAATATATTTGTGTGTAAGTACTAGAAAAATAAATCTTTCTCTCATATATAATCTTTTTTTTAAATAATATTTAATTTCCAAAAAAAATAAACTTTCAATTAACGTCCAAAGGTGCCTGATTCTCTGGAATTAAGGATGTGAAGAATGCCTGAAATGTTCCCCAAAAAATACTCCATGCAGAATTTCCCGAATTGTTAACAGGAGTTGGCTGCTGCTGTTCTGTAGTTGGTTGTTGATTCCCTTCATTTTGTATCTCCTCTTGTTGTTGCTGACCATTTTGCGCCTAAAATTAAATTTTTAAAGATAAATTGATTTTGAGACAATAATATTAAAAAAAGGAATCGGAAGTTTGGAAATGTGTAATAATTTATTAGCGTTACATACAACATTCTCCCTCACTTTATAACAGTAAAGGGATTTCAAAATATGTGAAAAATTATTTAAAAAGTTGTCTGCAATGTAAAGAAAAGTTTTTTGAAGTTATAAAAATTTTTTTCAAAAATGATTTCCATTAAAATTTTTGTGAAAGTAAAAGATCTGACAATGAGTGTGAATTATAAAGAAGTTAAATGCTACAACGTTATCCTTCAATAAGCCCCATTATATTTTTTATAAATTAAAAACCAAAATTAACCTCTCTATTATTCACTTCTCCAGGTCTTGCTTCACCAGCAGCTGCTTCCCTAGCCTGTTGCTGCCTGCCTCTAAATATATTTACCAACCAAAAAATTCCAATCATTGCAAGAACAAACACAAAACGTTCGATTGAAGAATATAACAATAAAACCATTCCCAACAAAATAAAACGAATTGATTTGTAAATAATATCCAAAAAGTCTGGAGCAGCACGAGGTTCGTTGTTTTGTTGAACATTTGCGACTATAGGCATTTGAAGAGGTACTTGTTGTTGCTGCTGAATGGGAGGAAGTTGTTGTCCAAATGCGGCAGCGTTGGAGAACTAAAAAGAAATTAATAATTTCGAAGACAAGAAAAATCATAAATTAGGGACCGGCCAAGAAGAGTGAATGAATTTGTTAGAACTCGAAAAACTCAACCAAGTACTCTAAAATCTACTATTGTTCTAAAATCGTTATTTTTGGATATAAAATGAAAGGACCCCACGGTCAGCACATTCAATATTTTCATTCACTAATCTAAAATAAAATACCTGTGCAAAAACAGCTTGTTGAGCAAAAGCCGCTTGACTTAATGGATTCCACATTGGCCATTGAACACCTCCATAGGGCATTCCAACGGCATTCTGATACAAAGGCATCATTTGTGAAATACTAAAAATTAAACAATAATTTAGTTAAAAATATTAAAAATACTATTGTTGATAAGCATTCATCCAAGCTTGTTGCTGATCCTGTTGTTGAGTTGGGTAGAAATTGTTTGTTGGGAAGGGCATAGGCATTGGATTACCTGTACCATTATTAACTGGGATTTGAGAGGAATTACTATGTCCAGTGCTAAAAAAGTGAAATAAATAAAATCAAAAATTCAAAAAAATCCAAGAATAAAATTTGAGACTGTAATTGGGTAAAAATTCATGGAAAACTATAGAACTAAATAAAAAAAACAATTTAATAAAGGAAACTAAAGTCGTAGCCAGGGGGCCGATTTCAGAAGGGGCAATAGGGAACGCCAAAATTTTGCCGTTTACTTTGGCTTTAAAACGTAAATTTTGGGGGTTGTAGGCGCTTTTTCGATCATCTTCCTTCCAAAATTTTTTCATTTACCCATTGCAAGGGAGGGGGCTATAGCCCCCTATCCACGCCCTTGAAGGAAACCCCCATTCACCTTAAAACGACAAAATTTACCTAGAACTACTCCCAACACTACTAGCTGCAGCCGATCTATGCCGAACAGTTGAAGAAGCAACCTTTCCAGTATAAACCATGTGAATAACTTGTTTTTCGAGTTGTTCATCAGGAGAACGGGGCATTCCATCCCTTTGCTGTTTCAAAACATCTTTAATTGTTTGTTCATTTTTAAGGCAATGGCCGGCATAAATTAAACGTTGACGTTCAACTTCCTTAAAAATTTAACAAAAAATAATTAACCAAAAAAATCATTACCGGATTAAAATCACAAATTTGTGTTAAATGTTCTTTTAATTGTAAAACTGTCCAATTTTCAAAACATTCAACATTGTAGTCAGAAAATGTTTGTAAAGCACAACGAATCGTTAATTGTATTTTTTCTTGTTGGGACATTTGTTCTTTGAATTTTTTGAAAATTTTTTGTCAAGTCTTTGTCTTTCTAAAAATAAATTTTTTAAACAAAAAGTGTCACAATTCAACTAAAAATATTTTAGAAAAAAAGAAAAAATATTTAAAAGCCTCCGCAGTCCTATGATCGATTAATATAGTGAACGTTGAATGTTTATTTGGGGGAAATAAAATATTACATTTATTGGACGTTTACTTATAATTTCTTTTTTTTTTGTTTGTGAATAGTGTAAAGAATGGGGGGATTTAATTTTAATAAAAATATTATTAAATGATAAGTTATTAATTGGTTGCTTAGCGCCAGCTAACAGCTGCAGCTGTTTTACACATTTAGGCTACGTTAATTTAATCAGACACAAATTAGACGATAAAATATCAAAATGCCGAAAAGAAGAAATTATACGAAAGACCAAAAAATTAAGTAAATATTTTTAATTATAACTTTTTAAGGAACGATCAGACTTGCTAGGTCCTGCTAGAAAAAAGATTCAGCTCATCAGGGGCTTTCGAATGATATAAGATTTGTTCGGATTGAATCAAGAATAAAAAAGTTATAATTTTTTAAAGCTTCAGACTCAACTGACCCCAAGACCAGAATTCTTGCTGACAGCTTTCAGTCACTAATTTCTCTACTTCTCTAATGTCTCTTATTTTAAGTGTTACACTCGTTTATTTATATCTCTTTCGTAATGTCTGTCAACGTGGCTGAAACTTCTTTTTACCGTGTTATTAAATTTATTTTCTACGTAGAATTAATTTTTAATAATTTTTAAAAACTTTTTTAAATAAATCTTTTATTTTTTTTTTAGTTTTTAACACTTTTATTCTCTTCCTTAACGTTTAAATTCTTCTGAAAATGGGCGATTTTGGCGAGTGGTATCGGTCAATACCGCTAATTACTAGATATTGGTTTACTGGAGCAACAGTTATTCCCTTAATGGGGCGTTTTGGATTATTTAGTCCGTATTTGATGTTGCTGGACTTTGAATTGTTTTTCTACAAATTTCAGGTTTTTTTTTAAAATTTTAAGATTAAAAAATATTTTTAGTTATGGAGACCGATAACTGCACTATTTTATTACCCAGTTACTCCACAGACAGGATTTCATTGGCTTTTGATGTGTTATTTTCTTTATAATTACTCAAAAGATACGGAAACTTCAGTTTATGATGGAAGGCCTGCAGACTATTTATTTATGTTAATATTTAATTGGATTTGCTGTGTGGTAATTTTTTTAATTTGTTATTTAGTTGAAATGTTTCTGAAAATTCAGATACGAAATTTAAGTCTTAACTGAGCCGGGAAGCGTAGGTAAAAGTATCTGGGTTATTCAAACTTTTTACGCCCTAAATTTGTGACAAAACTATGCCGGTAATACTTATTGTTAAGATCATTGGTCCCGAGAAAAAATGAGAAAAAATTCTCTTTCGGTATTTTTGAAGCTTTCCAGTAGGAAAGCTTTTTTTTCTTTCCAGTTTTCCGAGTCAGAATCAGCTTATAATTTGGCCATTTCGAAATTTTCTTCTCGGGACCTTAAGGTTTACCACTATGGCCTAAGAAAATTAGCAATTTTTGAGGAAATATTTTAAGAATTTTCCTCCTTCATTCCATGTAGGATTCATTTCCTCCCAAAAAATATTTTTACTCGTTTCTATCTCTAATAAATTAAACTTTTTCAGATAATCTGTTTTGTCTCAGAAATTTATTTTTTATTGGAACCAATGGTTTTGAGTGTACTCTATGTTTGGTGCCAATTTAATAAAGACCGAACAGTTTCTTTTTGGTTTGGAATGCAATTTAAGGTTTATTTATTTTTATTTATTTGTCTTTAATTTAACAAAATTTTCAGGCTGTTTATTTACCTTGGGTTCTTGTAGCTTTTAATATGGTTCTTAGAGGGGGAGGAATTAATGAACTTATTGGAATTCTTGTTGGTCATACTTATTACTTTCTTGCCTTTCAATATGCTTTGGATTATGGAGGTTCAGTGATTATTAAGACGCCACAATTTTTGTAAGTTTTTTTTAAAAATTGTTAATTTCCAATTTTCGAATATAAATAGGTTAATAGTGGGTAATTTGTTATCCATTATTTTTAGACAAAACTATAGCTTATTTATTTTGAATAAACGGCCACATGCTAAACCTCTTTATTCAACTCATAGAAAAACAAACTTTTTTGGGTTCAATATCATTAGAGAATGTCGCCATCCAATTAAAACCTCAGATCTCAACGAGTTACCATCTTATCTTTATTCTTTTTTACATTTCCATTGACTTTTATTTTGTAATTTATTCGGTTGTTCACATATCCTTGGTTGGTTAAGTTGGATAATTTAATTTTGTTGATATTTAAATTCGATATTGGTTCGGCCCTTTCACCGAAAAGATTTTTAAAAATGCAAGAACCAGCGATACAGGAGTTTTTCAAATCCTGTATATCCTAGATTCTTTGCTAAATTAATTATTTGAAGTTTGAGAGGCAAATATATTTGTTTATGAATTTGTTCTCTAGGATTCGAAATTACATTTTTAGTTGGAAAAAAAAATTTTATGATTGGATGAGTGGAAGATTTTTTTTAAGATTCAAAATTTAGAGTTTCCAATTTTAATTTCAATAATTAATTTAGATACAATTATCTTCCAAATCGGGTTGGTGGATTTGCTGGTTTTGGAAGCGTTCCACAAAGCAGAACCGCAACAAATCGTGGAGGAGCAACAGGCGGTGGAGGACATAATTGGGGTACAGGACGAGAACTTGGAGGAGAACAACGATAAGAGAGATATATTGCAATTTTTATTTTTTGGGTGTTTTTTGTAAAAGTATTTATTTTTCCGTTCAAGTGAAATTATTTATAAAATAATTTACAAAAAAAATAATTTTAAATCCTTGTAAGTAACTGTAACATCCCTATTCCATTTACTTACAAGAATTCTAGGTGTTATTTTACTTTTCTACCACTTGAGCGGAATCCTTACCATCAAAAACATTTTTTTATTAAAAGAAAATTATCGACATACAAATTTACATTTGTACAGAATAAGAGAGAATTTTTTTGTTAATTTTGGGTCTTTTAATTAATTTTTTAGTTCCAAAATTTTTTTCCTTTTTTTAGTTGAGATCCTCTAATTTTTGACTAGTTTATTATAGATATTGAGGAGGATGTTGTAGGCCTAGTATTATTTTCATTTTCTTCTTGTTCCTCATTTTTTGTACTCTAAATTCTAAATATAAGTTTTTCTTATTTTTAAAAATTAATTTAATTATACCAACCCTGATATGTGCATTTTGTCTTCTTAAATCAGATTTTATTAAGGCTGTTAAAATAAAACCAACAAATAATAAGGCAGACATAATTACATTACACCATAAAATTGATAGATCGTGAAGTACCTAAATAAATTATTTAATTAGAAAATCAAGCTTAAATTTAAAATTATAAGGACGTGGTTATTTTGATTATATTTCGAGCAGAGACTACGTATTAACAGGATCGAGCATGTGAGGGGTTTCCCGAAAATTTTTAACGGGATTGTAGTTCATGGAGAATTAATTAACAAATAAGCTCAATGAATGCCTTAGTCAAATTATTATAAAATTCTGGCCTTGGATTCCTTGTCCTGGGTCAGTTCGTTTTTAAAATACCGTTATTATCCGCGTTAATTTAAATTAATATTTACAAAAAAATAAAAATTCTATTCTCTTCACCTTTCCCATTCCAAATGTCATGGCAATTCCAAAAGCTTGAGCTGACCCATTCAAAAGCCCTGAAGTTGTCCCTTCTGCAATTGGAAAAGTTAATTCAGCAGCAAATTCAAAACCAAGAGGTAAATAACCGGTCATAAAAAATCTGTAATGAAATTGTTCTATTTATGTATTTTTTAATTAAAGAAATTTTACCCAAGAGCAATTGCAATAATAAAAATTGTCCAAAGCGGCCATCTTGCCAACGTAAAAGTAAATACAATCATTCCAAGAAAGGAAAATAAATAAACTATTAATGTTGTCATTCTGAAAAAGAAAAAATTATAATGTTCATATTGTGGAAAAATTCATTGGACGGGAAATGGAATAGAACCATCATGGAAAGGGCCCAAACCGAGGCACAACCGACTGTGTCAACATCCAACCCGATGCGGGTTATTTTTACAATTTATATTCTTTCTGCAAGTGCGGACACAACAAAAATAAAATTTAAGACACCCTAAGTTGATGTCCAGATTTCCCTCTAAAATTATTTTCTGGTTTGGGGGAAAATTCTTTATTTTTTGGAAATTCTTTCCACAGAAAGCCCCCCCCCCTAAAAATTTTTTAAATTCAAAATTCCTCTCTTATACTTAAAATGATGCCATTTATCAAGAACATAGCCACAAACAACAGAACCAAACATTCCACTAACAACAATTAATAACCCTATTGTGCCTGTTGCTTTTTGTGCACCCTCATGATAAAAAAGTATCATTTGACTTAAAAGTGTAGATATTGCATAAAATACGCCAACATTAATTCCTTTTAAAAAATAAATTTTATTTTTTAGAAAAGGTTGTAAATTGTTGCTTAATATTAGTATTTTGTGAACAAAATTACTAATAACTCGACCTATACAATAGAGATCGGAAATTTTGAAAAGCCTGGGCCTGTTCCTGGGTTCCGGGTTTGATTTATTGACCTGGGTCGGATCCTGGGCCTGTAGTCCAGGAAAAACCCAGGAAGGTCAACAAATGCCTGGGCCTGGACTCTGGGTACAGGAAAATGGTCCAGACCCAGACCGATCTCTAGTCCACAATCCCTCCCTCCCTAATTAAAAAATTCTTTTAAAAATATTTTCTTCTAATTTACCATAAGTAATAAGCAAAAGTATATAATTTCCATTTTTTAACAAATTTTTAATTGACCGTCCAAAATCTCCTTCTCTAGATTCATCAATTGCTTGCATTTGGGCATTTGATGGAGGAAGAGGAGGTTTTTCAGCAAAAAATAAGGCAATAAATATAAAAATAATCGAATTTACAACAGCAGAAATTAAAAATAATAAGCTTAATTGAAAGCTTATACTCTCTTTATTTCCGGGATGTACAAGCAATGGAGGGAGTATAAAGCCAATAGCAATACCTAACTTTAAATTTGAAGAGGAAATTATTTTATTTAAATATTAAAAGCTTTAGTAGGGAAGAAGGAATAAGGGAGAGGATAATTAAAGCCAAAAACTAAATGATCGGGTTTAAGTCATGAAAAAATTAATATCAATGGATCTTAAATTTAAATTTAGTCTTTTTTTCTAAATATTTTACTAAAAGAGAGACAAAGATAGATTTTGACAAAAAATATTTTCCAGAACAGATGGCGGGTTCACTCTAAGGTTGTCGGATCCGGATCCGAAAAAAGCCGGATATCCGGAAATTTTCGGTTCGGATATCAGATCCGGATATCCGAGGATTTCCAACTATCCGACAGTCTTATTCCCTTCCTCTAAAAATAAGATTTAACCCAACCAATTTGGACCTCTTTTAAATAAACTATTTATATATCCACCTGATTTCCAAAAACCCCAGCAGCACAAGCTGTGGATACTTGTTCTGGACCAAACCAAACAGCTGCCAGTCTTGGAGGAATTCCCAAAATAAAAACTTGGGAAGAGCCGACAATCTGTATTTAAAGAATTTGGTTAATTTAAAAAATCAAAATTCACAGTTTGGGCAATAAATGTCAGCCAAAATCTGTCTGGGGTTGTCGATAAAATTTTAAGCCAAGCACCAAAACAATTCCCAAAAGCACCAATCATAACAGACATTCTAAGGCCATATTTATCCAAAAACCAACTACAAAAGTAAATTTTGAAAAATATTTTTTTTATTTTCCTTCACCTTCCAGGGAAAATCAAAATCTAAAAAAATTTTTTATTTATAAAAAAATTATTTTTAGGGACCATATAAGTGAGCATATAAATCATTGATGTCCAATCTACAGTTGTATATTCAACATTATAATATGCGTGAATTATGTGTGCTATTATGCTGTATTCTGAAATTAACGAACAATTATAAAAGACAAAGGTTGTCTATCCAGAATTTGTCTCTTTTGAAAATTGCACATTTTGTGTACTCTCTCACTATTTGTATGACCAACATCCGGAAAATTCCGGAAATTAAGTAGTGTCCCTTCTCTATTGTTTTCGGTTTTACATGTGGGGAAACACACATAATGAGAGATACTGTATAAATGAAGGAGAGACATTCCGGAACAGACAAAATAATTTTCCGTTTATTAAAATTAATTTACCTATCCATTGCATGGCATTTGAGGCGGAGAGAAGAATAAACCTAAAAAATAAATAAAAATTAAAATTATAATTTATTTTTTCTCCAACATTGTAAGCATTGCATATCGCCTCGAATAAATTTTTGTCCTTTGTTGTGAAGAATTTTCTGTTGTATCCAAAACCCCATTAGTAGTTGGATTAGTAGATCTTCCATTTTTCTCGGTTCTTTTATATTGTTGTTGTTCTGTTTCTGTCAAATGACGTCTTGCGGCTGTTTCTATATCACTTTCTTCATCTGTACTGGACATTTATTGTGAAGTTTTTTTTGAGAGATAAATAAAAATTAAGAAATTATAAGAATAAACAAAATGATAATTTAAATAAATATGTAGGTAGTTATCTGAAAAATAAATAAAAATTAATTAATTAAACTTTAAATTTCGAATTAAATAAAAATGATGAAATGTAGGGGTAGATTTTTAGTCAAATCGGGACAGTTTCTCAAAAATAATCAAATTTAAATGGGTCAATTTTTAGGAATCTAACGGAATATATCTGCAAACTAACTATACAGCCCACTCTCATCTTTAAGTTATTCCGTCCCAAATTTCAACGGTAAAACTGGACATATCGGTTATAAAATAGAGATGCAGTTATATCACCATACTTTCGGGTTATAAATGAGAGTGAGAGTTTGTAGACATTTAATTAAAATAAAAAATCCCAAAAATATATCTAAATAATTTAAATTATTTTTAAAAAAATTAAGAAAAAATTAATATATTAAACAGTCTAGAAGATAAAAAAAAATTTTAAATCTTTTAAAAGAAAATTTTCAAAGTGGAACACTTAAAAATTATTTTTTATTTACTAAAAAGCACTGATTTTTTGTTTGTTTTTTATGTTAAAGTGTACCCAAAATTTTAGAAAAAATTTTAAAATAAATATATTTTTAGTTAAATTAGATATATTTCATTACAAATTTGAAAAAATTTTTTTTTGCAAAATTATTTTTCGATAAAAGAAAAAATTCTTCAAAATACATTTATTTATACTTTTTAGAAAGAAGCTTTCTTAGAGTTCAAGCGCTGGGGTTGGTTTCCATAAAATTTTTACTTACCAAAGACAATATGCCGCCTGTTTTGGAACTACCCGTTAGCTTGCTAATATAAATTTCGACTTTCTAGTATTCAAAAAAAATAATTTTTTGGAACTCAACGCCAAACTTGAACTCCCATAAAAATGAATTTTTTTGAAAATTTTAGAGTTACTTCCTAAGAAAAGTTATTTTCGCTGATATTTATATGAAGGCCGATTAAATTATGTATTATTTTTTTATTATCATCAAATCTAGGTATAATTAAAATAAAATAATTATTTATACCAATTGAACCAATAAAAATTTTTATAAAAATTCCCATCCTTAAGTAAAAAAAATTTTTTTAAAAGAACATAAAATAAATTTTAAAAATAATTTTGTTATTCGTCAAAAAACAAATTTAAAAATAAATTGACAGAAAAAATAAATTTATTTATTTTTTTAATTGTATTTGAAAACGGAAAAATGAAAATTTTCGTGAAAAAAAATTAAAAAATAAATAAAGCTTTTCTAAAGCCAAAAAATAAAAGAAAATTTAATTTTTAATTGAAAAAAGAATATTTTTTGACTAAAAAATTTACGAAAAAATAGATAAATAAACATATGTGGTACTTTAAAGGGAATAATAATAATAATAATAATTTTTGTTGCCATAGCACTTTTTATAGTTAAAAAAGGATTTTTGAAGATTAAAAAAAAATAAATTTATAAATTAAAAATATCTTTAATAATTCTGGAAATTTAATAAAATCCAGTACCTTTTAAAAAGAAAAAAAGATAAGAAAAAATATGGGGAAACTTAAAAATCCCTACAAACCCCCCCCCTCCCCTTAAAAAATTTAAAAAAATTATTTTTTAAAAATATTTTTATTGATTTTAGAAAAAAAATAATAGCGCGGACGCTTACTAATAGACACGTGAAAAATTGATTTGATGAATTTATGGACTGTTATTTTTTTGGATTTTCTATTCAAAAGAGAAAAAAGAGGGGGGGGGGAGGGGGATTTTATTAAAATAATTTTTAAAAAAGAAATAAACGATTTTTGAATTAAATATTTGTTCTTTTTATCAAACTACTAAAATTAAAGAGAGGTGATAATAAGAGATAAAAGAGGTGAAGAGGAGATAAGAGAGGAAGTAAGTAGTGACTTTTGGAAATTCTTTTTTGGAAAATTCCTTTTTTATTATCAAAATTAATTTTTAAAATATTGATAAATATTTAAAAATAATTAAGAATTCTTTGGAATAAAGGGTATTAATTAAATACCGTATTTTTTGTATTAGAGCCCCACGCTGTATTAGAGCCCCACGCTGTAATAAAGCCCCACTTTGGAGGATAGTTGAAAAATAGAGCCCCACGCTGTATTAGAGCCCCACGCTGTAATAAAGCCCCACTTTATGAAATTTTCACATACCTAAGTTAATAAATTTATTTTTAATACTGTACAGCCTTTTCTATCATTTCCAGTCAAATCAAAGCAGTTCATTCCAGTTAGGTTCTGTCACTGGAGGCATAGATTGATTAGAGTTCAGCGGGATCGGGATCTTGGTCGGGATCGGGCGGGAGTAAGCCGGGTTTTTCAAATCCTGATCCCGATCACGGCCAATCCCGAGGCCGAGATCGGGATTGTTATGTGCATCAGATCCAGATGCAAATCCCGATTTTATAAATTGACTCGTCTGTGAAATAAAGTAGAGTAAGTCGAGTTTGAGCATTTTCGAGTTACTCTATCTGCCCAAAAAACTATAATCTGCCCAAATCCCGCTTAATACCTTGATATCCTTCTCACTCCTCTTATCACTCGATATCCCTTTAATCTGCACGAATCAACGAAATAATATTATCCATTGATTTTCCACCCGGAGCCCGGAGTCAACATGGAAATACCTTCTTAATCACATCTATATCCTTTCATGGGACTGAACCGGAATATATTCACGAGAGATTGAAACGTACGGACTGAAGAAAAATAGAATCGAACCTTCAAAGGCTCGATAGGATTCGAACCTTCCACAAATTAAAATTCCAATTCGGCCTTAAATCTAACTCAGATGCACTTAACCGCGCCTTAGTGTACACGCGTGACTATCATATTTGGAAATATCTCAATGTTGAAATTTGCTTTTGTGATTAAACTTTAATTGATTGGATAAATATAGTTAACCGTATAATTGAAAATCCTATTACTTATTTTCAAGAATAGGTTGAAAAATAGAGCCCCACGCTCTATTAGAGCCCCACGCTGTAATATAGCCCCACTTTGGAGGATAGTTGAAAAATAGAGCCCCATGGGGCTCTAATACAAAAAATACGGTAATAACACACACATAAAAATCTTTTTAAATATCATTTTGAATACATATGTAGACATTGGAGTGACACACAAATTTATTTAATGGGAGTGTGGCTATGGATTTTTAAATTAAAATTGCGGCTGCCGAAAAATTTTTCATTTGCGTCCACCTTGCACTACAAAAAAACAGAATAATAAACGAAAAAATTTGGAGATTTATAAAACTACCTATTTATAATTTACTACAATAATTTATCTAAATTAAATGAATTTTAGAAAAAAATTCTTTTTAAATTTTTATAAATTTATTTAAATTATTTTTGTATTTACTACTTAACAATTTAAAATTTATTTTTTTAAAAAACTTGAAAAAGAAGAAACTAACAAAAATTGGTTAATGACTGTTTAGAGGGTCTCCTCTCCTCTCTCTTTTTAATTTTTGTTTACTTTTGTGACAAGCTGTAAAAGTTGTTAGTAAGCATTTACAAAAAATATATTTTTGTTGATTATTTATTTTTAAAATAAATATTAATAAAAATATTTTTTCGGTTAGTGATTGGCCACAGACCCTCTTTCTTTTTTTCTTTATCGAACACAAATAAATAAAATATGAAACCACAGGGATCACTTATAGAGAAGTAACATACAAGAAAATTCAGTTAGACCCGATTAATTCTATTAGGTTTTGAGAATATTTTTTCTGGATTTATTTTATAGAAACGAAAAATTATTTTGTAGGTTGTTTAGTTGGAGGGAGTTTGCATGTAAACTTTCGATGGAAATTTTTAAATGCAAATCTTTTTTCTTTAATATAACAAATAAATATTTTTATATTCCAAATATATTTTAGAATACTCAAATTATTGGAGAAAAATTGAAAAAATATTAAAAAAATTTTTTGGACCGGAAATTATTTAATCGAAAGTTTAAAAATAAAATGAAAGGAAGAAATAAATTGAAAGAAAGAAAATCACATTTGAGCAAAAATCCATTGATAAATAGCCTGAAAAGTGTGTAATTAATTTATTTTTCCTTTCATCTGTTGGCAGCTATTTAATTCTTTTAAAATACCTGGATATATATTTTTTAGTTGTCAGAAAATGTTAAAAATTAAAAAGAAATTTTTTAAATTAATTTCT